GAGGAAGGAGACCGGAGTGAAAAACGGGTTGTGCCGGGGACAGACCGATCCCCGAGCAGCCCGGACGGACGGCTAAACGGATCATAGCTCAATGGCACCGGACATGAATTCCATGTCAATATAATAGAATCATAGCACTTACATGTATGGGCGTCTTCTATGGTACATGCAGAAAGTCGAAGCTGAAGAAAAAAGGGGAGCCGAGCACAGGTCCGTCCTCCCCTTGTGTACGGACCTAGGTGGGGCCCACGTGACGTGGGCGTAGACTATTGATACTTCAGAATGCGCGAGCGCGCGCGGGGGTACCCATCTGCGATAGCCTTAGAGGGCGGAGCTTACACGAAATAGAACTGCTTTGTCCCAATGCATCCCAGCACTGTCCCACCAGTGTTAAGTATTTATAGTATCTAAAAATCATCATCAAAGTCTTAAATAACATGGGATTTTACCTCTTGCAAATCAAAGGGCACCTCCTGACCATTACTCTTCAGGATATTAGCCAGCAAACGCAGTGTCCTCTCCCTGGGAATCACGTTCTCTTCCTGCATCTTTGTCCATGCAGCTTCTGCCTTCTTCCAGTTATTTGTTTCCTCTGAAAATCAACCACAAATGAAAATCAGTGGGAATGAGAGGTTTTAATTTGTCATAAAGGCATGACACACAGACCTATGAGGCTGAACAGTCGGCTCGTCACCCAGCCTTTCCCAGAGAGCAATTTCTGACAAAGCGCTCCATGCTGAGAAAAAACACTCAAAGCTCCAATCTGATCAACTGACTGACCCTCGACTCTGCTGTAATTCATCAAACACACTAACTACGGTGGGTGCACAACGGTACAATGACAACCAGCTTTAACACTCCAATCACAGTTGTTATCAGTTCTGCAGCAATCACACCAACATTTTCTGCTTCCTGCAGACTGATCTCACTCCTTCACACGCAGCGACTGAGGAAAGAACGCTGAAGTACGAGCAGTGGTGGGAGGTCAAATTAGCAGAATACACAGAGGTTCAGCAGCACAAAACACCCACAAGGAGCCAAATGGAAGACGGAGACTTACTGCAGAGCCTGAAGATGTAGCTGTACATCTCATCTCTGTCAGAATCAAACAGCGTGCCTGTCATCTCCACAAACTGCTCCAAGACCTCCATCTAAATCCAAAAAATCATCATAGATTCAAAAATTTTTACTTAATAATTATGATCGTCCTTATTGTTGGCTGGTTGGGTGAACACGTTTGGGTGTATTACCTCGTTATTAAAAATGCATTTCTCTGCAAACCAATGGAAGCGTCCAGGTTTTGCTTTCAGCCCAGGGGTCTGTGAAAGGGAAACAAAAGACACAGTCTGATAAGAAAGGAATGAATAAAAACTGTTGTACTAATGAGTCCCGGTTTAAGTGTGTGTTTGTCTGTGCTTAAAATGATCAATCATTAAATTAATCAGGTTGTTTAAAAATGATTAAAACCTGTTTTAGGGATGTGTGCCAACACAAGCTTAAACACTCAAAGCAGAAAAAAACGTAAGTGAGAAACAAAACAGTCAGGAAATAAAATAATCAATGTATGTTTCCTTCTTGGTTTTTCCATTTCAAAATAAAATCACAAAAAGGAAACAGTTTTTTTTTGCTTTTCTTTTTTTACATTTTTAAAACCCAAAAGTAAAAATGTAAACTCAAACTAATTCAAAATCCAGTGTTTGATTTTTTTTTTTTTTGCTTCAGCTAGCTACATCCAAAAACACATATACAGTTGTTTTTATATGTGGAGAGAGGAAATTCACAAAAGTCTCCAAAATAGATGACAGTTTATAGTGGCTGGAAGACTGCTTAACAATGGAAACCCTGTTCTGCATTACTCGGAATATTAAAACAGTTTTGTTCACTGTAATATTGTCAGCTCTTGCATTGACTCCCTCTAAAGAAGAAACATATTCTTGGTGAAGTGAAAGTTATGATCGAGGAGTTTAGACCATGATTTCTGGTTCTGGTTCTGCCAGAAGGTCCCAAATATAGTGCACTAATAAAATATAAGGCTCGTCTTTGCATTAGCCATTAAAATGACAATATGTAGCATTTACCCTTTTGCAATACTTGTTTTTCTAAAAAAAAAAAAAAAAACCCATCAGGTTTTTTTTCACTTTATCATGAACCGTTCAAACCAAAGAATGAACCATCCATGGATCTAAAACAAATAAAAAGCTCATTGATTCATGTAAACCCACTGAGTCTAAGTGTTTCTAGGATGAACATTGACCATGGTGTGAAAACAGAAACACTTCAGCTGAATGAAATATCTGTTTTGAAAATGTGTTTAGCTGTTGTCTTTGTGAATATGTGCAATCATGGATTACGAAACAGTATGCCCCCCTCACCCCCACCCTCCTGACCATTTCTACTATCAAAGACCGAGGCACAAAGATGTTGACGTGGTGTTTTTAAATGCTCCGACTTGGACGCCTCTGCATCTGTAGTCCTCAATTTTCCAGAGATACATTTTTTTTTACTTTTAAAACACCAGTGATATGCAGATAAGCAGAGTATTTGTGCGGTCAATAAGGGGCTGATATAGATTGACCTGCAGACTCATATTGCCATGATTTAGTCCGATATGTGCAGTGCCTTCATGATTCTTATCATGAAATAACAGCGATCAGGATTTCATCAGTAACCTGGGGCTTTGATACAATCTGAATAAGACAAGGATTGAGACATTTCACTCTCCCTCTTTTCTCAGTAATCTGGGTGAGAAGGGAGGAGAAAAAAATAGAAACAGAACGATCTGGCTCGAAGTTAATCTGAGGATCAGCAGTGCTCAATCCCCACTGGCCTCTTTCATGGGCCAACCATCAAACTGTGTGGACAAAGTAAGGAAATGATGAATTTTATCTTTTTCCATGAGCATCCCTTCCCACTTTACAATTTCAATCCCCACATCTCCAAATTCCTCCCTCTTCCTCTGTCTTTTCCCCTGCTTCTCCATCCCTCTGGTTGTCCCAGGAAGAGGCATTATGTTCTTACTCAACGAGCCAAAGGGACAAATTAAAATGTGTAGTACCCACTCTCTCTCAGGCTGTCTAATCTTCTTAGAGACTAAGGCTCGATGCGAGTGCTCCATCTATTTATTTTATTTTTTGCCTTCAATTTATTTTACTTGGAAAAGTCTTGAGGGTTCAAAGCAGCACAACTTTGAGCCACCGCGAACCCAACGGAGCGGGTTTTGACGGTCCCAAGCGGCCGACGGGGGTCTGCCATCAATCGCCTAAGGTTTTTTGCCTTTTTGAAGGGTTTCCAAAACACAAACACACGTACACACAACTCTGAATGTGATTGTGATTCCGTCAGGATAAATCACCCAAATCTAAACCGGAAACACAATCCTCAGAAACAAGACGACACACTGATGACATAAATCAAAAGAATTCAAAACAGAAAGAAAAAACAACAACAACCAGTGATGGCTGTCAGAGAATTAATGAAAAAAAAAGTAACTGGTCAGATTATCGGGACAATCCTCACAAACATGCAGTCGAGTAAATACAACACATTGTGTTGCTTCTTTAAGTTTGTTTGTGACCTTCAGGAGTCAAAACATCTTTACAGGTTTCTATCTCATTCTTGAATGTATTTAAAAAAAAAAAGAAAGAGGCTAAAACTGACCTCGCCTCACCTCCACTTAACAAACCCTCTCCGTCTCAGTTCCTAATGTTTCAATTCTGTTAATCACATGACCACTTAGTGCGTGCACACACACTGCTAAATCTCGCTCCCCAACACAAAAACACATAATAGCTCACCACTCTTTTGCAACACTACCTAACCTTGACCATCACACAGACACACACACGCCTGCTGCAATAATAGACCCGGCCATCTGACAATCCCCTACCTAAGCGTGACCATTTAGCACAAAATTGGCCACCTTTCTCTATCATTACATTTAATTAGCTGTGATTAATCAGCTGCCAATTATACCAAACAGAGCCTAAAGAGAGAAACCACTCTGGACCACCACTTGACACTCTCAAAAAGAGGGGGGAAAAAAGGTATTTGTGCGTTTGAATGAGTGTGTAACTATTTATTTTTGAGTGATGAGAAATATGATTCTATTGTAGTCACCTGATGAACTGTGACGCAAGATTAATAACAGACAGCTTAAAGTGAACTTTTAATTCAGTCATTGGCAAAAATTCTATGCAGGTTAATTGAAAAGTGGCCCCTGAAATATCCAAAAGTTTTTCCTTTTTTCCCTATACTTTCCTCAATCAATCAATAAATTCAATCTATAAATAAATAAATAAATAGATAAATAAATAGGTCTCTGTGTTTGTTCATTAGCAAAATATCTCACAAACCGCTGGACAGATTTTAACATTTTTATTGAATGTACATCTACAACTGAATAAGTTCTAGAGTTAAGGTTTACAGAAATTAGTTCTGGTACACTTTAAAAAGCATGGTTTGTACAAAAGATGCCATTGGAAATTTCATTAAAGCAAAGTCTCATAAATCACCGACACTTCAATCGTTCTTAAATCTTTTCTATCTTTTCATACATGGAGCCCATCTGCAACATTTAGTTTAGTTTATTCATTCCATTTAAAAAAAACAAAGCAAATTCCGTATACAAAAAAAAAAAATGCAAATGAAAAATAAAATGAAAGACAGCAGAAGGAAGAAAAAAATCTTATATCTGCACCTTTTTACATCAAAAGAAATTCAAACAATAATAAAAAACAAGAAAAAAAATTAATAAAAAACTAAAAACTTTCTCAGACAATTTTTAAGGATACATATGTCTTTCATATTTCTTCAACAGACTGGATTTTACCATTCTCCTAAACTTATACGATGATCCTGCACTTTTAATATTCTCCAGATTATTCCATAATTTTATTCCTTGCACTGAAGTACATCGTTCCTTCAAACTAGTTCGGATTTTAGGTTTCACAAACACCTCTATCCCTTTTAAATTTTAGTAGCTTTGTCTCCTAACAAAGATCGATTGAATGTTCAAAGGTAATATATTTTTATGAGCCTTATACATAATCTGCAAAATGATGTAATCAACCAAATCATAGATTTTCAATAATTTCAACTGACAAAATAATGCATTTCACTGAGATTCAAACTTTCTGGTCCTTGACTAGGCTGCCTACACAAAACACTCACACAGCCTGTCACAATAACAAATTTTGCTGGATGATAAATTGTCTCAGAATATATTGCGATGAAAGATTATATTGTTAGACCATTTTAAACTAATTCAACGACACCCCTCACCCCTACTTACAAAGCTTACAGAAGTTTATAAAATTTACATATCTTAAAAGAAAGTTGCAAACTGAACTGGAATGGACATCACTACCCACCTCCTCTAGCCGAGCCGGCGTTATTTATTCTGTATGTGTCTTCCTCTGGCTTCAGAAAATAACTGCGGTCACACTTGTGAAATTTACGGGAGTTGATAAAATTTACGTAAAGTTACAGATGAACAGGAAATGGCGTTTGTGAAAACAACACACATAAGCTAATGACGCTGTAGCATCAGTAGCTATCTCCTCTATTCAAGCTGGCACAATTTATTCTTTTGTTTTTCCTTGGTTTTCATGAAATAACCGTGGTCATCTGTACGCTGCTTACATAATGTAAAACCTCTCGGCAACCCCGATAATCAGTACGGTACCCTTAGGGTGTTCTGAGTCATCGCCAACTGAAAGAAGGCTTCAGAAAACCGAAGAGGCCAGTTCACGGGGCTCTTATGCTACAGAGCTTACCAGATCACACATCTGGCAAATACATGGTTTTACTTCACCCTACTCTGAGTAGAAAAGACGGAGACACGACAAAAAACAAGCTGACAAATGAAAATTATCGACCTCATTTTGATTTATCATGCGATTAATTGATTTATTGCCGCCCTCACACATCACTGGCATGTAGCTGATCACATAAGCAGGATAGCAGTCATAATCTTAGTGTGGAGGGGAATGAGAGCCACAGCAACAACATGTTGATAATATCTAAGAGCATCTCAATCCTCAAGAGGGACAAATCTCTGTTTTAAAGCGCACCAGGACAAGAGATAAAAAGTGATGTCAGAGAGAGAGGGAGTTCAGGCATTCCTTTCTTCTCATCCTGATCAAACACGTTAATGGCCTTGTCTCTCCTCCATTAGTGTCAGGCTCATCCCTTGTTTCACTTGTTTATCAATCACTCTACGCTGCGGTCGAGTCCCCGGCTTCGGATTTTATCCATGTGAAAATCACTTCTTATCTGATCTTTTTCCTCACACTAATCTACAGGGCTTAAAGCAGGACTTGAGATGACAAAGAAATACATATTCACAAAATATTCAGGTCAGATTGTTTACAACAACAAAAAGGAGGATGGCAATTCCAGCATGCATATCCTGTGTGGGCCTCAGACAAAATGCTATGATAGTCCTGCAGACCATTATTTCTTGTAAATTTACTTGTATTTTTTAATTTCCGTTTCTAGTATTCACTCTGTAAATGCAGAGTAATTACTCAATTACTCCACTTGTTTATACACTGCTCAAAAAAATAAAGGGAACACTTAAACAACGCACACTAAGTCCAAGTAAATCAAACTTTTGAGAAGCACATTCAACTCTGTACAGAACAAAGTACTCAATGCAAATATTTCATTGATTAAGATCGGGAGTTAGCGTGCGTTGTTTTAAGTGTTCCCTTTATTTTTTTGAGCAGTGTAGTTTCTTCCAAAATCCTTGTGAATGAAGCTTCTCCTGCATACTTTGTGCAATTTTAAGCACTTAGCTTTGCGCTACTGCTTTGCTAGCTACTGTTCTGCTAGCTTTAATTGTTAGCTACCAATTTGTTTTTGCTTTTTACTGCTGTTTGGCTCATTTTAGCTATAAGCTACTGTTTTGCAAAATTTAGCTTTAAGCTACTGTCCCAAGCCTGTTTTACGGTCCATAGGAAGTGAGAAGTTGTGTCCTGCTGACATGATTAAGTAACAAAACTTGCACATTTTCTTTTTCCATCCCTGTTGAGACCCTTCCTTATGTTTGTATTCTGTCTTTTGAATTACTTTAATGATGAGACAACGTGACAAAATAATTTTCCTGATAGCCTTAATAAAGTATTTCAATTAACTTTTATAAAAGTAGTCTTTCTGCCTCCCATTTGAGCACAATATTCCTGACATATTGGATTTCTAAACCCATTTATCTTTAGAAAAGTACAATATGTTAGTGCTGGGAGGTATATCGGTTCGTACCGAATACTGATTTTTATTTTTGTTATGATGTGAATTTTCTGAATACCGACATACCGGTATGAATGGCCTGAACACGTGCGGAACTTTTCGTTGCAGCCGCCAGTGAACTTTTGTTTCCCGGGGGACACTTTTCCTCGCAGCACCGCTGTGCGTTAGCATGCTAATGTTATTGTTGAGCAGTTTGTTGCAGCAGCGGGTGCCGAGTCCGCTGCTTATATTGACTGACGTTAAAAAAACATCCCGTTTTCGCCATCGCTGAATGTAGTAAACACCTCTTCAGTGACATCCACGGTTAGATTAAACAAGCGTCGTTATGGAGACGTGGAGACGCATGGAGACTTTAGCGTGGTTCTATTGTGAAAAGCATGGGGGAAGAAGTTTTGTGGTGGAGTTGAGTTGACTGGTGTGCAAGGTGAGTCGTGCTGATAAGCTTTATTAAATAACATAAAACAATAGACCCGATCATAATATTTTCTTAACCCTCCTCCTTCACGACCGGACCAAAATGCGTGACTACTGTCTCCAACCACCAGTCAGAGAAAAGACACATAGAGGAGGGAAACAGCAACACAGACAGAGGTACAATAAAAGAGAAAAGTTAATAAACAGTGTTTGTACATTTTATTATCAGCTGAGCTGTGATGAAAACACCGTGATATACCGTGAAACCGGTGTAAATGCTGAAAATACCGTGATATAAAATTTGGGTCATACGCCCAGCACTACAATATGTCAGCACCAAAAAAATAAGTCAAATTGGTCAATTTGGTAACAATAACAGCATCTATGTCCATGTGCGTGCTTACCTTAATGATTTTGCGAGCTTCATTGTAACGGCCTGTCTGCAGGAAGACGAATAAGAGATCATACATCATGGCCATCTCCCCATACTCCCGAGAAATAAAGTCCAAGGCTGAAAAGATAATAGAGCAGAGGGAAACAGAACAGAGAAAGGTCATGAATCAAAACGTCAGTCAGAGAGGCAATCAAACAGAGCACACTCTTCATTTCCCCCAGATTCCATTATTTGGCACAACGTCCCAGGCACAAAGCACTCGTATCAAGTCCACTCACAAACACACACGGAAATTCCCCGAGTCAAAGCCTAAGCTCTCCTGGTGAACTCACCAAATCATCCAAGCTCAGCGTTATGGACTATCTCTGTGCAGCAGCTTTAGGACAGGTAACAAACACAAACAGACTGCAAACGTTCAGCTAAACAAATGAGACTGCACATTCAGCAAAGCCAAAGATGAAAAGCAACACCGCTTTCTTTACAGTCTTGTGCTTTGCAAATTCTTTGTCACTCAGAAATTGAATAAGGTTTAGAATTATCATTGCCACATTTACAAACAAGAGTTGGTTTGTCATTTTAAGATTGATAACATTTCTAAATTAAAGGCTGCTTTTGCATTTTGTTTTACTGGAAAATGGTGTTCACTCTGACTTTTCAGCACCTGTAGTTGATGTAAATTTTTGTATTTCGAAAGTTTTCAACCTCCCCAACAACAGAATGAGTTAAAACTACTCAGCTCAGATTTAATTAACGTAGTAGGAGATGGAATAATTTTGGCATTTTAAAAATCTGTGGTTGGGTGTTTTAAATGTTGCTATGAACCTAACTTTCTTTGTTATTTTAGGGTGAGGTGACTGATTTTTGAGAGCTTGTCACCTTTTAGGATGTGTGTGGCTGAAAGGGAAGGACAGCATGTGGAGAGGTGCTCCACTGCACGGCCTCAACCTTCACACACTCAAAAGCCACTTGCCCCCTCCGGCTCACTGAACTTGACATTTTCACTGTTGAGTTATAGAGAGGCTGTTCTAAATGTGATTAGTTGGGGTGCTTCACTATGACCCTGGTCTAAACCTTTGACCCTGTGGTCCTCTTATGCACTCTTGGAATTGCTGGCACCTGTTAACACATGCGCTTAATGCAAACACTGAAAAAGCACTTTGGAAACACAAAAGTTTAACAGGTTAGAGTTCAAAAACTAAAGAAGAAATCACAATGTTTAACTCTATTTGTATTTTTAACATGAAAATCCTCCTCTACCACCATCAAAAGCAGGTAATCATGTAACCGCCTGTGTGTTTGTTCATCTGTCTGCTGGCAAAATATCTCAGAAGCAGTGAAGATTTTAAAGGGCCAATATTATGTGTTTCTCAGGCATATATTAAAATACTATACCATAATGAAGTATCTGTCACATTTAGCTGTTATTAAAATGCTGTTTTTTAATGTTTAAATAGAAAAATAAACTTTTCTTCTCATCACTTCCTCTTCTAAAYGCCTTGAAATTGGCCTCTGTCTCTTTAAGAACCTCCTTCTGCTTTTGTTCCGTCCCGTTTGGTGGTGGGGGGGGGGGTCGTGCGTGTGATATGATGCAGTTTACTTGGCATCTGAAAACACATTTCCTCAAAGGCATTTTTAATCTGAAAAGAGCTTCACTGAGTGACAACTAATGTTGAGAGCTCAGAAGCTAGGTGCCATGAGGAAGCTCGGCTTAACGACACGTCCCAGGGGCGTTTCTGTTACCAAAAGGCGTTTCTGGTTTCCACCTCTTGTTTTGCAACTCACCATGGCTTCCTAAAAACGCTGCAGGATTTCTCAAACATGCATGAATGAGTCAAAGCAAGACTTTGGGCATGTTTTTTATGAGAGTAGAACATTATAAGATGATATAAAACTCAAAAAAGTTATTTTACATGATATTGCCCCTTTAACAAAACACAAATAATCACTGGATGTCCACATACAAATGATTAATTTAGGGGTCAACCCTATTCAAGATGGCTGCCACAGCTAATTGACATTGTAAAGCACAAAAATGGCTACAAATTACGGTAAATAGATTTAATCGATTAACTCAAATTTGCCATTTATAAAAATTAAATTTGGGGAAAATCTGGATTTTTCCCCCCCCCACCATTGCCCTCTTTGGGGCTTCTGTAGTTTAGAAGTCACCACACCTGTCCCTTAAAATGCTTGGTACATGACATGACAATATGGCAGATAGCAAGGAGGATCTACTTACCAAAAAAGGCACTGTTTCTTCAGTTTTCTGAAATTGGTTAGGTTTCGCAACCTCAGACCCTGAGGTTGGACTTGGAGGTTGAAGACCTCTGTCCTCCAGTTTTGTTTTGTTTGATACTTAATTAATCCCAGTATTTTACTTCTGTAAAATACTGGACTAGTACACCTCACTGCAATATCTGTTTGAAGGCTCTTGCTACAAAAAGCAGGAGTAAAACAAATTTGTTTCAACACCTGAAACAGAGGCACTAAGTGGTAAACAAAATTGTTTAAAATCGAAAATCAAATTTGGGAGAGATTTTTTTGGGAGGACGCTCAGCCCTGCTACAACTCAATTTATTTTTAGATTTTGAGTTAAACTTCAATGTGGTAACAGCTGAGAGCCTTCCACATTACATATTCAGAGAACAAACAATTACAAAGTGTGTTTGTTGACTTTTTTGTTTTCTTGCTTGTAGTACAAAATTGTTATTAGTGTTGTGATAACGGTGGTTAGACTGATCAGAAATTAACCTTTTTGCAGTAAATCGGTGTCTCCTTTCTCCACCAGAGCCACCAAGATGCTATGGGTGAGCGGAAACTTGTGGTAGAGCGTTTGACACTCCATGGCTGCGTCGAGAGCTCCGGCCACATCGTTGCTGCACACAAACACACACACGAAGAGAGACGGGGGGAGGAGAGTTAGATGCCAGGTCTGTCCAATCAGTCATGTACAGGATTGTGTCAGTGGAGAATAAAGAGTGGATCATGGGGTGTTAACCCTGTGGCCTCCAATTCAAGCACCATGACCCATTCGAACAATACGGGCCTTTGATTTCATGACAGCACAACTGAGGGAGACGAAGCCTTTTGCCCTCAATACATCATTCTCACACAACCAGGCACGCTCTCACACACCTTTCAGTGAGGGGCTAATGACTCTATGGACAGGCTTTTAAAGGTGAAGCAATACAGCAGATAAAAGGACTTCACTGATCTTTACCCTTTCTGCAGAGAATCAAACTTCTCTCCTGCTCCTTCTCTTTTGTCCAACACACACCTTCTTAACCTCCTCGTTTCCTCTTCTCTCATTTCCCTTCTCTCTCAGTCTTCACGCTTCCTTTCTGTCTACATTTTCTTCTTCTCTTTTTTGATTTCACGCTGCCAGCTCCTCGACTGTGACCTTCCCCACCTCCGCCAGCTGAGCAATTTAGCCCACATGTGGCAACAAGGCTAGAGACCCCACTCTCCCTTTCATGGCTCGCACCCTTCTTCTCGTGTCATCCTTTCCTCGCTCAGTCTATCCCCCTTATCTTGACTCACAACAAACAAAAGCGCTCGGGATTCGTGCACGATGGAGTGATCACGAGAGAAGAGGAGAGGAAGCGAGTGAGTTTGCAAGAGACTACTTCAATCCCCTCTATTGTGACAGTGCTGCCATCAATCTGCTGATTGGGTAATTACCATGTCAATCACACAGAGGTCAAAGCAGATAGGGCACTCATGGGGGAGGAAACAGATTGAATGCTAGATTGAGAGTGAACAGGTGTAATTTCTCAAGTGTTTTCTCCTCTAATCATTTAGATGAGCACAGATGCAAAAATATACTCAAAATGACCAACAACGCGGAAAACATATATAAAAAAATAAAACATTTGACCTTGGTTTCGGTTTCTGTGTCAGGAGGAGGAGAGAGCGACAGAGGGAGGAGGAACGGAGTGATTGGGACTGGAAGGCAAAGAGGTCCGCTAATTGAAATGAAGAGGCACAACATTATTCAGCAGCGCCAGTCAAGAGGTTGTTCAACTGCACAACAGTCTGATTGAACAACACAGAAGAGCGACAAAGAGATTTTTGGAAATGAGAGGAACGTTGAGACCGAGGGAAAGTGACAGAGGTAAGCATGTCACTCCAAACGAGACAGATAAGAAAAAGGATTTATTGCTAAAAAATTTTTTTCATTATATATATATATA